GCTAATGGTTCTATTATTATCTGTAGGACTAAAATCACAAGCTTTCACATTAAAAAAGCAACAGGAAACAGGTTAGATAAATAATATAACACTAAAAAATATCAATGAGGAAACAGTTGCTAAAATAAACTAGAATCAAAGGGTTAAAAAGAAAGTCTGCCATCAGTTTACAAGAACATGCCAGTGAGTGAGCTTATAATATGCAATGAAGTTGCAAAAAGGTGACTGGTTGTGAGATGGAAAAGCAATTGTCAAGGTAAACTGGTACTTGCAAGAGGCAGCAGAGACCAGCTAAAGTCAGTAATATAATAGAGAAAGAACTATAAACAGGGTTGACAATGCACAAGTGAATTTTCAGGTATTAACACAACAACAACAAAACCTTCATAGTATAATTGGTAACTAAAATACTACATTAGTTTTAAAACTTATTTCACTTGCAGAGAATGAACTTTTGCAATGTATGGTTTACTTGCTCTTACTAGTACTATTACTCACCTAAAAAGCCGGTAGCATGGAATATATTTCTGAATGTCTAGGGGGAAAAAGGGATGAATAAATGGGTTGTATAATGAGGGAAATCCAAATTACACTAATACTTGGACTGAAACTCAGCAAGATATGATACTCTTAGCACAATTATACTGAATTTTTGGTTATGATTAATTAAATAATCACTTCCAAGCATTTACTTCATGCCAGGAAGTACTTTAGTATTATCTCATTTAATCTTCACAAGTCAGATGCCATCATTCTTTCCCTTTCAAAAATGATGGAATAGGCTGAGCATGGTGGTGCACACCTTATTCCCAGCAACTGTGGAGGCTGAGGTAAGAGGATTGCAAATCGACCAGCCTCAGCAACTTATTGACATACTGTCTCAAAATTAAAAAGTGGGGGTGGAACTGGGGAGGTATAGTGGTAAAACTAGGTTTTACCACTCCTAGGTTCAATCCCCAGGACCAAAAAAAAAGCGAGAGATGAAGTGGTTCCTCAAGCCAGTGATAGAGCCAAAATTCAAACCTAGAGTTTCCCTGGGAACCACAATGCCATATTCCCTCAAATAATGATTTAATAAATACAGTACAAAATATAAGTTTAAAGTTGCAATATTTTCATTGTGTACTAAAAAGGTCATGCTCTAAATTTACACCAACTGTTAAAAATATCTGTCAAATAGAAATATCTTGTTTTAAGTAGTTATTTCATAAAACTTTTGTCTGTGTTAGCTACAAACTAAAGAAAACAAAAACAGACCCTAATATCTTTTAAGAGGCAAATTTTATTCTGTCAATAGCAATGTTAAACTAAGAAAGAAAAGTGTAAAAATGATGAACATCTTATGACCAATGTGAGGCAGTAATTTGTCTATCTTGGATTTTCATCTATTCTCCATCTGTGTTAAAGTAATCTTTTAAAATAATTTGACCAAATACCTTAAAGCTTAGCAAAGTACCTGTGTACACAGTGTAGTTGGTCAAGAAATGTTTGCTTAATTAAATTTTTCTAAATGTGTTACATTCTTTGGGTGGCATGCTAATTCCAGTTAGGGGAAAAATGCTCTAAATCTTGCTTTTAAAACTCCAAGTGTCTGACTAGCAATAAGAAAAAAAATCAACAAAGTTAAATTACAGACTGCTTGGGCTGGTGGTGTAGCTCAGTGGGAAGTGTATACTTAGTATGCCTAAGGTTCAATCCCCAGCACCAAACAAAATAACAACCTGTATAAACATGTGTATAGCACATGACAAAAGGCCATTATTAAAATGTTATACAAATCAATTAAAGTAACATAGCCAGTAGAAATATAGTCAAAGAATAGAACAGGTCTGTGCTTTTCAAAGGCTAAAAAGAAAAAGTAAAAACCAGGAATATTTAACTTCTTTTGTACTCAAGAAATACAAATTAACAGTAGCTCAGCGCTCTAGGTTTTGGGTTCTATGTCCAGCAACACCAAAAAGAAAAAAAGCAAACTACTTTTTAAAAAATTTATCAGATTGGGGCTGGAGTTATGGCTCAGTAGTAGAGCGCTTGCCTAGAATGTGTAAAGCACTAGGTTTGATTCTCAGCACCACATATAAATAAACAAAATAAAGCTCCATTGACAACTAAAAAATATTTCTAAAAAAAGTACCTTAACTTCTAAAAAAAAAAATTTATCAAATTGGCAAAGATTAAAAGAACTTATAATATTTCATGTTAGCCTGAATATGGAGACACAAGCATTATTATAGACTGCGGAGGAGTCTAAAATGCAATAAATTTTCCAAAGTACTATTAGCTAGTCTACCTATATGAATTTGGTTTTCAGAGAGACAAGGGCACAAAGATATATAAAATATTCACTGTAATATTGTATTAATAAACAGAAACTTATTCATAGTAGTTAAAAGTTATGTTGTGTCCACACAATGGGACAGTTATAACCATTAGGAAGAATGAAAAGTTATATACAAGGCAAATTATATCAGCTTGCCAAGCAGTCCCAGTTGAAGTAGGAGGATGACTAGAGTCCAGTAATTTGAGGCCAGCCTAGGCACCAGAGCAAAATCCTCATGCCATTAAAAAAAAAAAGTTTTTTACCCTGTAACAGCATAATAATATCGAGGAATTGATAATAAAGTCAAATGTTTATGTACAAGAATATTCATTGTAGTGTAATCTATAATAAAAAATGGAAATAGCTGATTATAATTTATTTAAAGGTCTGCTTAAATCACAGAAAGGTCATAGTGGAATATATTGCAGTTATGAAAAATGATAGAGATATCAGTCATGACAAAATATGTCATGATGTCAAACCTGTTATAAAGTACAATACTATTTTGTTTTAAAAAAGAAATATATATCCTACTAGCCACAGTGGCACATGCCTGTAATCCTAGCAGCTCAGGAGGCTGAAGCAAGATGATCGCAAGTTCAAAACCAACCTTAGCAACTCATGGAGGCCCTAACTAAGTAACTTAGTAAAACCCTATCTCAAAATAAAAAGGGCTGGGGACTTAACTTAGTGATTAAGCACAATCGGGTTCAACACCCAGTAATAAAAAAAAGGAAGAAAATGTGCGCGCGTGCGCGCGCGCACACACACACACACACACACACACACACATCTCCTTATTAAAAACTGTATATGTTAGGTAATCAGAAGACTTCCTATATATTTTAAAGCTCCCTTATCTTTTTTTTCCTTTAGGAAACAGCAGCTGTTTCCTCTTAGTTTCCCTGCAGCAATTTTATTTGCTTCCTATATTTCACATTGTTTCAGTCCATGGCCATAATTTTAATTGAAGATGAGTGCAATGTATTTTAAAAATTCTGCTTTTAAAAATCAGTGTATTTTTTTTTTAACAATTTAAAAGTAATTACTTATGCTGATCCCTTTCATCATAAACTATCAAAAATAGACAGAAGTATGTAACTCACCAATTGTATAAACAACTTCAACATCATCCATTTGGGAGTCAGTAATGCTATTCTTGGCTTCACCTTTCACTTCCCCAAGGAGAAAACCTTCCTATAAAATAAAAAGAAGCAGAATTTGGAATACATTGATAGAATTACTGTCCAGTCTCTTAAATAATTCATATTTCCCAGTATTTTACAGTGTATACATGTGTGTGCTACTAGGGGACACATAAAAACCTAAGGTGCTTCCAGTTTAATTGGAAAACATGACCAGTTAAATAAGAATTAGAAGAAAAAAATGAGAAGAGATTATAAACACCACTGTGATTTTATAAAGGGGAAAGAGATTAACATAGACGGAAATAACTGGAGAAGGCCCTGTGGAAGAGGTGAGAATGAAGTTGATAATTTGTGTAGGCAGAGCTTGAAGCACTTAGCACACCGGAAAGCATAAAAGGCTTAAAGCCAAAAATAAGCACACACTAGTAGAACAGTTTGCCTTGAAACAGAGGCAAACTTAAGTGGAGCCAATAATAAAACATCCAGTATGACTAGCCAGGGAATCTGGATTTAAGAAGTGCTTCTAGGAGTCAGTGGAGGTTTCTAAACTATGACACAATGAAAGTGTTTTCAGATTTAAAATTGTACAAAATGGGGAAGAATGTACAAAATATGAAAGATTAAAGATTTTGGAATTCAATTTGAGTCTGCTTTCTAAAAGGGGTCCTGTAGGCCTGATTCGTTGTGAAACTACAGGTATATCCTCACAGCAGTGGTGAATTTGTCCTGGTTCAGATTATTCAAATATTCCTTTAGGTGCATTTAAAGACCAAGTGTGGCCAGGCAGGGTGACCCAGCCGCTCTGGAGGGTAAGGTAGGAGAATCTTAAATTCAGGTCAGCCTCAGCAACTTAACTTGAGACACCCTCTCAAAAAATAAAAAGGGCTAGGGATGTTGCACAATGGTAAACCACCCCTCAGTTGAAACCCCAGTACCAAAAATAGACCTAGTGTGCTTGGTAATGAAATTTTACCTTTTTAAAAACTGGTTAATAATACGTAATAATAATAATATCCCCCCCCATTTCATCAAAGGATAAAAAGCGCTAAAGGAATGTTTCTACAATGTTTTCACTTGAATCAAGGTGAAAAAAACCCCAGAACTGTACACTCCAGTGTTCTTGACTTTGGTACTTCGAAAACAAAAACTAAGAAATGTGCAGCAAGAATAACTTAAGTCTATCTTTAAAAAACCACCATTTAAAGAATTTAGTTAAAAGATCTGAAAAACCGCTGTCTGACAAGAAGGTACCGTAATTTACAAGAATTTTACTGTGACTTGTTCATTTAATAAATTTTTAGAAAATAGGCACTATATTTTTTTTAAAACTTCACTTTTTAATTTCATCCAGTGGTTTTGAAGCTAGGCAAAACGTTTAAATGTTTAATATTTGGGGGAAATTTGTGGTTAAGTTATAACCAAAAGTATCAGAAAAGTAAATAGAAACCTTATAATTTTAAGAAACTTGATGGCACGTGCAAACAAATCAGGTATTTGATACATCAAATTAAGGGTTTTTTTTCATTCACTAGGATTTGCCGAAAAACAGACACTGGATGCAACACCTATTTTTACTCCTTCACCTTCCTACCATAGGAGCTGCCCGGCATGAAAAAGTCCACGGTTGTCTTTGCAATCGATCACGGGTAGTCAGGCGAAACGGAAAGTTAACCTGCTGCCTCCCCAGCGGTAGCGGAGCACGAGATGAACTTTCTATCCGTTCGCGCCCAAGTTTGGCCAGGAAAAAGGGAGACTGATGAATGAGACTGGGGCGTGTGGGGCATTCGGGCCGGGGAAGGGGAGCAGGGGTTAGGCCTGGGAGGGCTACTCTTGGGAAAGGCTCGTCGGGCAGGAGGCACCTCCTGGTCCGCGAGGGAAGAGGCGGCCCGGCGGCGCAGGGAGAGTCCCCGGGCGGGGATCCGGCCGCGGCGCGGTGAGGGAGGGAGGCTGCGCGCCCGGCTCACCGTGTCCGAGTCGGTGTTGAGGTGCTGGAAGGAGAGCGCGCCGAGCACAAAGCCGGAGAGCACCGCCGACGTGCTCTCGCCCTCCATGCCGCCGTCGCAGCGCTACCGAGACGACCCGCGCGGGGGGCGGGGCGCGGACCCGGACGCGGCTCGGCGGCGAGGGCGGGGCTGAAGTGGAGGCGGGGCCGGGAGCCCGGGCTAGGGCCTCCAGGCATTCTGCGGAGGGAGGCGCGCCCCCTGTTGGCGAGGCGGCTGTTGCGGGGTGCTTCCTTGGTTTATACTGGCAACCTCGCGCAGCTGTGGGCTCCGAAGGGGTAACCCTGCAGAGAGTGGGAGCAGGTTTCAGGGGCCAGGTGCTGCAGAGCAACACGTGGAATATATGCAAAATCATGAAAATGAACAATGTCGACAGGGTCAAGAGAAATAATGGTTACAAGAATAAGAATTTCTTAGCAACATTATAATAGCACACCTTTGTAGTTTTCAAACTGCATTACACTGCGCTTCACCTATTGAAACTCCTAGAATACTAACAGCCATTTCTGGGATTGTTGGTTCTAGAATGTTCCAATGATTTCATATGGAGTTGTGTGTATGTTTGGTGTGGTTCTTCGGTTTATTTGCTTGCTTGTTTGATAAGCATGATCATACTGTGCTGGATCATTTGATTAAATATTAAAGTGGGTGGGAAGACCCGGGATTGAAAAATATATTTACACACCCATGTTTATATATATAGATACGAAAATTATGTATTTTTTTTAATGACTGAAAGCTGGCAAAATATAGGACTTCTGGGTTGAAGTAGTATTGCACATTTCTGGGGTTTGTTGTGCTACAGCCATGTTTAGCTGAGTAACACTGAGTGGTTATATATTCCATAAAATTAAATTTTGTGCCTCTGTTTCAACAGAAACACAGTTGATAGAAAAAAAAGATTTTTCTACATTTGTGTTTCGTGGGCACTAATGTTATAAAGGATTAAAAATAAAATAAAACCTATGACAAGGTATGGAATAAGTCCCAAAAAATATGGTCAAATGATGTTTTTGTTTTTTCAGTACTGGGGATTGAACTCAAGGCCTTGCACATACTAGGCAGCACTCTACCATTGAGCTAGATCCCAGAGTCTTTTTAATTTTTTAAAATTTTGGGACAGGGTCTCATTAAATTGCCTAGGTGGCCTCAAAATTGTGATCCTCTTGCCCCAGCTTCCCTGCTTGCTGGAATTACCAGTGTACATAGTTAAAAGATCTTTGACAAGAGTACCAAGACCATTCAATGGGGGAAAGGATAGTCTTTTCAACAAATGTTAAAAAAAAAAAAGAAGTTAGATCTTTACCTTACATTGTATACAATTAGCTCAAAGTAGATCAAAGATCTACATGCAAGAGCTAAAATTGCAAAGTTCTTAGAAGAAAATATAGGGAAAAAAATCTCCATGACATTGGATTTGGCAATGACTTCTTGAATATGATAGCAATGGCATAGATGATGAAAGAAGAAATGGACAAGGAGTCCATCAACAAAATGGAACTCTTTTGTATATCAAAGTATACTTGGAAGGAGTGAGATGTTACACATGCCTGTGGTCTTAGTGACTTGGGAGGCTAAGGCAGGGGGATTGCAAGTTTGAGGCCAGCCTAGGCAACTTAGAGAAACCCTGTATCAAAATAAAAATAAACAGGGGGCTAAGGATATAGCTTAGTTGGTAGAGTGCTTGCTTTGCATGTACAAGGCCCTGGGTTCAATCCCTAGCATCACACAAAAATATTAATTAAAATAAATAAATAAAAAGGGCTGGAGGTGTAGATCAGTGTTAAAGAGTACCTGTTCAATCTCCCCAGTAGTGAGAGAGGCGGGGGGGGGGGGGGGAGGAAGTCAACCCATAGAATAAGATAAAATATTTGAAAATCATATATCTGATAAGAGATTAATATCCAAAATATACATAAAGAACTACAACTAAAGAAAAAAAACAACCAACCAGCTGGGTGTGGTGCTGGGTGTGGTGGTACACTCCTGTAATCTCAGCAACTGAGGAGGCTGAGTTCAGGAGGATCAGAAGTTGGGAGCCTACATCATGGGAACAAATTTTTACTCCTCACACTTCATATAGAGCCCTAATATCCAGAGTATACAAACAACTCAAAAAATTAAACAATAGGATAACAAAATAACCCAATCAACAAATGGGCCAAGGACCTGAACAGACACTTCTCAGAGGAGGACATACAATCAATCAACAAGTACATGAAAAAATGCTCACCATCTCTAGCAGTCAGAGAAATGCAAATCAAAACCACCCTAAGATACCATCTCACTCCAGTAAGATTGGCAGCCATTATGAAGTCAAACAACAACAAGTGCTGGCGAGGATGTGGGGAAAAGGGTACTCTTGTACATTGCTGGTGGGACTGCAAATTGGTGCGGCCAATTTGGAAAGCAGTATGGAGATTCCTGGGAAATCTGGGAATGGAACCACCATTTGACCCAGCTATTGCCCTTCTTGGATTATTCCCTGAAGACCTTAAAAGAGCGTACTACAGGGATACTGCCACATCGATGTTCATAGCAGCACAATTCACAATAGCTAGACGGTGGAACCAACCCAGATGCCCTTCAATAGATGAATGGATTAAAAAAATGTGGCATTTATACACAATGGAGTATTACTCTGCACTAAAAAATGACAAAATCATGGCATTTGCAGGGAAATGGATGACATTAGAGCAGATTATGCTAAGTGAAGCTAGCCAATCCCTAAAAAACAAATGCCAAATGTCTTCTTTGATATAATGAGAGCAACTAAGAACAGAGCAGGGAGGAGGAGCAGGAGGAAAAGATTAACATTAAACAGACACATGAGGTGGGAGGGAAAGGGATAGAAAAGGGAAATTGCATGGAAATGGAAGGAGACCCTCATTGTTATACAAAATTACATATAAGAGGTTGTGAGGGGAATGGAAAAAAAGCAAGGAGAGAAATGAATTACAGTAGATGGGGTAGAGAGAGAAGATGGGAGGGGAGGGGAGGGGGCATATTAGAGGATAGGAAAGGTAGCAGAATACAACAGTTACTAATATGGCATTATGTAAAAATGTGGATGTGTAACCGATGTGATTCTGCAATCTGTATTTGGGGTAAAAATGGGAGTTCATAACCCATTTGAATCTAATGTATGAAATATGATATGTCAAGAGCTTTGTAATGTTTTGAACAACCAATAAAAAAAAAAAGAAGTTCAAAACCCAGCTTCAGCAACTTAGCGAGACCTTAAGCAACTTAGCAAAACCCTGTCTCAAAAAATAAAAAAGGACTGGGGATGTAGCTCAATGGTAAGGCACCCCTGAGTTTAACATCCAGTATCAAACGAAAACAAAAACAACCATTAAACTTGAAACAATGGGTCACAAAATCAACCAAAGATCAAAACTGAGTAATATCCTGAAAAGCCTTATCAAATTGGCTGTCTTATCTTCCCCTCATGGGTCTTACAGAGGCTGATAAAAACATTAAATTGATTATCAAGAAAATGGGGAAAACCAGAAGAGAGAATGTAGATATACCAGTAGGGTGAAAATGCTTAGATGGTTATTAAGAAATGAGATGCTAGTCTGGAGGTGTAGCTCAGCAGCAGCACACTTGCCTAATATGCACAAGGCTCTGAATTCAATCCCCAGCACTGCAATAAAGAAAGAATTATTTAAAATTAGAAAAAAATAAATGGGGTGAATAAACAGACATCAATAAGGTTGGAACAAAGGGGTTCCAGAGTCAGTCTTAGAGAAAAGAGGCTTCCTGCATGTCATGAGTATCTTTTCTTCACATGTTTCTGAGTAAGCCATTTCTACTTTATTATGACACTATTCTGGACACCATCCTCTATTAAGAGTGATTCTCTCATACCACCCAAGACAGTGTGAGTATTTTGGGTTTTGATATTTTGTCTCCTTCAGCCATTAGGGATAATTTAAATTAATATCTGATAGCAAGCTGGTACTACTGTTACCAGAGTTCTCATTTTAGTTAGTTTTTTTTTTCCACTGTGACAAAAAGACCTGACAAGAAAAACAGCGAGAAGGAAAAGTTCGTTTGGGGCTCACAATTTCAGAGGTCTTAGTCTATAGACAACTGAGTTCATTACTCTGGGCCCAAGATGAGACAGAACAGAGGAGGAAAGCAGTTCAGGATAAGACAATCAGGAAGTAGAGAGAGCTCTACTCATGAGGGACAAAATATAAACCTCAGAGGCATGCCCCCAGTGACCTGTCTCCTCCAGCCACACTCACCTGCCTATAGTTACATATTTAATCCATACAGTTGATTAATGCTATTGATTAGATTAGACTTCTCATAACCTAATTATTTTACCTCTGAATATCCTTGCATTGTCTCACACATATGTTTTTGGAAGACACCTTATATCTGAACTGTAACAATCCTAGAACAAAATCCCTGGCTCTAGTGGTCCCAACAGATCAGTCTTGCCCACACACTCCAATTTGCTAATCAAAGATAACCAGTGGTAAAGTTTTAATCAGTGTGGCCACACCAGGAAGAACAGATGGCAATACAGTGACAAAGATCTATCTTCAAGGGGCTCACAAAAACTGAGGTTTCATAGAAAATGAAAACAAAGGCAAGGTCTGGGGGTTTGTATGGCTGGGAGGTTTACTTGGACTGGCAGAGTAACTCATTCTGATCAGACTATGGTCTGATTGATCAATATCTCAGGACTAAAGCTCTGGGAAGGTCATCATCACTCAAGGGGGCAATTCAGTTCCCATCGTAACTTGATTGCTACTGCTTTAGGAGCTAGCCTCAGTTCTGTCTTAGAGGAA